GGGACCCGGAGAGGAAGCAGCTGGAGAGCAGATGTGGAAGGAGAGAGAGCCCCAGGAAAGGGCCGAAGGCAGCTCGGCCCCTCCCTCCAGCTTTCGGGACCTCGGGAGGCTTGTTTGGACCGTTCGGCCAAACTGGATGCGCAGCACCCCCACCCCACCCCCACTTCTCCTGGCCCTTCCTGTCTGGTGACCCAACCACTTGTGATATGGGGCCGTGGGGCAACCATTCAACGGCCCGATGCTATCACCGACAAGGCTTCCCTCCACAGCGGCCCATTCCCAACTGCTTGGGCGGGAGGAAGGGCGCTGCCCACCTTAATTTAGCACCCTGCCCCGGAGGCTGCTGTTTGACCAGGGAGGGCTTGGCACTCTCGCGCCCTTTTCTCCTCCCTCCCCTCCCTCGCCTGAGGATCTTAGTCACTGGTGGCCTAGTGAAGGGGCAGGTAGTTCTGGTAGAGTCTAGCTGGGATCCCTGGAGGCCACAGAAAGTATGGTACTACCGGATCGCTGGATAGAGAGTATGAGCCCTAGGGTCAAGTTTCTGTCTACTCTTTTTTCCATTTGGTCTACCCCCTGATGAAAAGCTGCTGAAAGGAAGGCATAGCTCCTGACCCCTTTCTCCCTGAGTGGTGAACCTATGGCTCCTGTGTTTTTCTTTTAAGACAAAAGATGTTAATGTATGAGTTGTTTTTTCTTATATATTTCTTGGTACCAGAAATCAAACTCAAAGCCTTGTGCTTGTGGGATAGGCACTGTAACACCGAGCTACATCCCTGGCTAGTTTTTGAGACAAGGTCTCACTGTGTAGTCTAGGCGGGTCTGGAGCCTGGGCTGGCCTCAAACTGGCAGAGATCCTCCTGCCTCAGGCTCCTGAGTGGTGAGATCACAGGCATGCACCACCACTCCCAGTTTAGTTTTTTTCTAAACTAAAAATCTCAGTATTCAGGTTTAATTGCAGTTTGCACTTTGTGATAAGTGAGTTTTGAGTTGCAGGTTAGGCACTGGTCTCTAAAAGGTTTGCCGTCACTGGCCCTAGAACAGCTCCCTAAGCTTCACTCCGGCAAGGATTGGACAGTGACTCCCACACCTTTGAAAAGTTTCCAGGAGGTGTGAGAATCTCCACCCTGGATGGGGTCAGGTCTGTGTCCTCCGTGTACCTGCCACCAGCGTTGGGGGCTCTGGACTGAGTTGGTCCTAACCTCTATCTGCCTCCCCCTAGGCCTGTGCAGTGGGCTTGATCGCTGTGGGGATAGTGGTCAAGCATTTCCTGAGTGGGACCATAAGCCATGGGGCTACTACTGGCGGCCTGCTGCCTGTGATCATCATTGCAGTGGGGGCCTTCCTCTTCCTGGTGGCCTTTGTGGGCTGCTGTGGGGCCTGCAAGGAGAACTACTGTCTCATGATCACGGTGAGTTCCTGGGATATGGGGCCGGTGTGGGTGCCTGGGACTTCCGGGGGACATTTGTAGGGCAGAGGCCCACAAGGGTGTCAAGGTGGGTGGGCGAGGAAGAGCTCTGTGAATGTTCCAGGGACTGTCTGGCTATAGCAGACACTTATCATTCTGACTCCTGTCTTTTTCTCCTGCAGTTTGCCATTTTCCTGTCTCTTATCATGCTAGTGGAGGTAGCCATAGCCATCGCTGGCTATGTTTTTAGAGACAAGGTAAGCAGGGAATAAAGGGAGATCCCTGCCTCCAGCTGCTCTGGGACTCAGGTACCTGATTTTGCTCTCAACAATGTTCCTTTCTGCTCTCAGGTGAGAGCAGTCTTTGATAAGGATTTCCGACAGCAGATGCAGAATTACTCCCAAAACAATGATACAGCTTTATTTCTGAACGATTTGCAGACAGAAGTGAGTAGTGTCCATGGGAGCAGGAATAGTGGGGGAAGAGGAGCCTCATTCCACATGGAAAGTGAAGTTTCACTTGGCAACTTTCCCTTACCTTTCTCTCTCCACAACCACCAGTTTGAGTGCTGTGGGGCTGCTAACTTCACAGATTGGGAGAACATCCCTGGCATGGGGAAGGGCCGAGTTCCTGACTCCTGCTGTGTCAACCGCACCGAGGGCTGTGGCAGTGACATTAAGAAGCATACTATATACACTGAGGTAGTAAAAAGATCGAGATAGTGCAGGACTTAGGAAGCCTGGGGGATGATTTAGGAGACCTGGGATAGTAGTAAACAGGGTCAGGGATGAGGAGGGGATCTGGGGATGCTGGGGTGCAGTTGCAGGACAGAAGGTGGGGAAGAGACAAGTGGACAAGAGGAGGTGGTAGTTTTCTGATGGTGCTCTTGCAAAGTTTGCCTGTCTCCCTCTTCAGGGCTGCGTGGAGAAGATTGTGAATTGGCTGAGAAAAAAAGTGCTGTTGCTGGCTGCAGCAGCCCTGGGCATCGCTTTTGTTGAGGTGAGAGATGTGCTGGGCAAGGGCTTACAGGGAGCAGGGGCTGTGGGGAGCAGGGTGGTGAACAAGAGGCACTGGCCTGGGGATGCCCGGAGCGTGTCGGGGGATTCCTTTCTACCCTCCGTCTGTCTTCCCTTCTAGGTCCTGGGGATTGTCTTTGCCTGCTGTCTTGTGAAGAGTATCCGAAGTGGCTATGAAGTGATGTAGGGGGTCTGGTCTTACTAGCCCCTCATCTAGGGGAGCAGAGTAGTATCCCCCAGGTTTTTCAATTAAACGGATTATTTTTTCAGACCAAAAAGAGTGATGGTCTCAGTTGTCTTAGAGCGCTGTTTGACCCCTTTCCTTTCCTCTTGTTCCTGTCCTCTGGAACTTTGCTGTGTGTGCCTCTGGGAAAGGCAGGCTTATTGGGGGAAGTGTTTGGGAAAGAAGGATTTTGCTGAAGTTGTTGGTTCTGCTGGCATTGGGAGAAGTGGGGATCCAGAGGAGGCTGCCACTGCCAGGCTTGGCACTAGGATATAACCATCTGTGTGAGTCCAAGGATTTCCTGTAATGCTTCTACCTGGTAGAGCCCAGCCCACATCTACATGGAGATGCCCAGTACTCTCTCTCCTGCTTGTCTTCCAGGGGCCCTTGCAAAGTAAAGCCACTTGAGACCTGCACGGCCAGTGCCCCTCATTATCATTATTATTATTATTATTATTATTTTTTCCCTTGTAACAGGGTCTCACTGTGTAGCCCAGGCTGTCCTTGAAATCATGGCAGTCTTTCTGCCTCAGCCTTGTGAGTGCTGGGATTACAGGAGTGTGCCACCATGCCCAGCTCCTCATTCTTGGATAGTAGGAAAATCTAAGTATTACTTTTTCTTCCATGAGCCCCATCTGGTCCTGACTCATCATTTCCCCTTCTTGCCACAAAAAATAAGGCTATGCCCACTTCTAGTCCCAAATAGAATTATAACCGTACCTCTTGTAGAAAATAAGGGGAAAGTGCCCTCTTGTGGCCACTCCGGCAGGTGCAATTTGAGACCACTCAAACTCCAGGTGGTTCCCTTTCGCCCCATTGGGTACTGGCTGAGGGTTGGCACTTATGTGGGGTCAGTCTCCAACTAAGCATCTTCATTTCCATCCTACTTTTTAAAACATACGTTTATTTTTAAATGCCTATTTTGTGCCATGTTGTAGGCAGTTAGGGTGGGGAAAGAAAAGTCTTTGCCCATGGAAAAACCAATCTTGCTGGAAGGCTGGGCTCAGAAGACTGACTGGCCAGGCTTAGGAAGGAGCCAGGTGAGCACGGCATCCACGAGGCTGGCTGGCAGGTAGGAAGCGGGCAGCCAGAGCAGCTTGGCGTCCCAGCCTGGGCTGTAGCGGGTTCGGGGGTGGCGAGCAGTCAGGGCGTGCTCCACGCATCGGCTCACTTTGGTTAGGTCTGGGTCGCAGATCAGATTCATGATGCGCCGCTGTACCTTGAGGTCTGCAGCCCCAGGGTGGGTGTAGTCAGGATCCCCTCCCCAGTCCAGCCCATCCTAGGCCCCACTGCCAGATACTTGGGCCTGTTGCCCCACAGTGATGGGGGCTCCTTAGTCCCCTCCACAGTTGGGGATATTGGCAGGTTCCACGTGCCTGGACACTCTCTGTGGCCTCCCTTCACTCCTGCCCTCTGCCCAGGAGGCAGACATGGGACTGGCCACTGGCTGTCATGTCCCTCCATGTGCACCCGAGGGCCCTGCTACTCACACGAAGGGAGGAAGGCATCCCCATAGTGGGCCTGCAAGGCTGGAGGTAGTCGTGCCCAGCAGGCCTGCAGGGTGCTCTCCAAACTCTCCAGGCTGGTCACAGGTGTTTGGAAGAAGCCAGGCTCCACGATGGAGACTCGTACCCCGAAAGGAGCCACGTCCCGCCTGGAGCGTGGGCAGAGGGGTTGCTGGGTTCTTGTTCTTATAGGGAGGGTACTCTCAGGGATGTGGACAGGGAATCAGGGACAGGCCAGATATGGGAGTCCTGATGGACATGCTGTTGTCCTGGAACTAGGGAGAGAAATATTTGTTTTTGTGGCACTGGGGACCCAATCCAGAGCCTTGTGCAGGCTAGGCAAGTGCTCTACCACTGAGCTACATATCCGCATCCAGAGGAAGATGATTTTGAGATTTTCCTTTTCTTGGCAGGGTAGGGATAGGGTCTTACTATATAGTAGCCCAGGTTGGCCTTGAAGGTTTTTTTTGGTACCGGAGATCGAACTTGGGTCCTTGTGCTTGTGAGGCAGGTGGTGCAATCACTGAGCTAAATCCCCGGCCCAGCCTTGAACTCTGGATCCTCTTGTCTCAGCCTCCAGAGCACTAGGATTATAGGCTTGTACCTCTTATGTAAAAAAAAATTTTTTTTTGGTACTGGGGATCAAACTCTGGACCTCAAACTTGTGAGCCAGGTGGTGACGCCACTGAACAAACTCCTTAGTCCAATGTTTGAATATTCTTTTTTTTTTTTGGTATGGTGGATCAAACTCAGGACCTTGCATTTGCCAGGCAGGCATGATGCCACTGATCTAAATGCCTGGCCCTCCGATTCTTGACTAGCCCCATTTATCAGTCCTGAGTGCTGGGCATGAAGGGTCTGGAGTGGCATTAGCTGGAGAGGGGGATCTTACGGGGACAGTGGGGATACATGCTACTGCTCTGGCTCAGGTGTAGAGATCTGAGTATGAAGTATGTGCTCCATGGTGCCACTGGGGAAACGAGAGACTGAGGAATAGGACAAGAGGAGACGCTGAAATTATCTGCTGAGTGACGTAGAGTGCACCTTAGAAGGTCGGGCTCAATTTGGACAACTTGGGCTTCTCCAAATTCAGGTCCTGCCATTGCCCTCTTGTCCTCATCAAGACTCCCTGCTGTCATGGAATTTTCAACATTACTGTTTAAAGATGAGGGGCAAGAAAACAAGGATCAGGCTCCACAGGCATGCAGACCTGGGCTTTCACTAACCAGTGCATTGTATATTGGCTGTTGGGAAAATTAAGTGAAAAAGCTACCAAAAGCTACTACACTTGATTTTAGCCAAAAGGTTGAGAAACGATACCAAAATCTACGCCCTGCCCACGCAGTACTGGGGATCAAACTGAGGACCTTGTGCTTTTGCTTTTCTTTTTTTTTTTTTGGTACCAGAGATTGAAGTGAGGACCTTACATTTGCAAGGCAGGCGGTGGAACCACTGAGCTAAATCCCTGGCCCTGGACCTTGTGCTTTTGAGGCAGGCATTGTGCCACTGAGCTACATTCCCAGCCCCTTTTATGTTTTTTTGAGACAGGATCTCACTATGTAGAGACTGACCTGGAGCTCACTATGTAGCCCAGGCTGGTCTTGAACTCACAGCGATCCTCCTGCCTCAGCCTCCTGAGTGCTAGGATTACAGGCATGCACCACCATGCCCAGCTATGTTGTTTTTTTGATCTCACTATGTACAGACTGACCTGGAGCTCACTATGTAGCCCAGGCTGGTCTTGAACTCACAGCGATCCTCCTGCCTCAGCCTCCTGAGTGCTAGGATTACAGGCATGCACCACCATGCCCCATGCC